TGCGGGTCAATAAAGGCTGTTTCTATTCTATTCTTTTCTATTCTATTCTATTCTATTCTATTCTATTCTATTCTATTCTATTCTATTCTATTCTATTCTGAAGGACTTGAATGTTTGGCGAACACAAGATGCAGAAAATAGACTTTTGGCATCTTATTTTCAGTTTAAATCTCTTTTTAACTCATTTAGGAAACATCACCTGTTATTGTAAAGCATTTGTTTTTCTTTTAGTCTTAAAAATTCTGCAAAAGCTCAAGTTTCAGGTGTTGTTTATGTATTTCGCAGACGAAAGTTTGAAATAACTGAATGAATTTTATGTATGTTTTATTTTTGTCGTTTGAAAAATATTATAAAAATTAAATCATTGAGTAAATCTTTACAATGACACAATTTTTAAAATGAGATTATTGATTTTCTTCAAGTAAAAAAATTATCGTGACTTCCGCTTTCTTACCGGAAGTTGTGGATTTATTTGTCAGCTCTTGTTTCAAATTTAATGTTTAGCAAAACAAAATTTATGGATTTTGTTTGCGTATAATTTTAAATTATTAAACTGTGAATAACATGATTTAAAAGGTTTTTTTTTGTGTCGATAATAAAACCGTGAAAAAGCAGCAGCGTCCTGACAAAACACAACGTGTTTTTATACTCTCGCGAGACTGTGCGAGACAAAACAGAACGTGTTTATAATCTCGCGAGACTGTGCGAGAGCGGTCAACCAGAGAGGAAGCTGTTTATCAAGCTCAAAAATGGCTGTTGTCCAGATGAGCTTCTCATCTCCGAGTTTACGAGTCGATATTAGAGGTTCAGCGGTGTTTACGTCGTAGTTAAAGTATTCATTACCTCAGGTAAGAGCGAAAACACGTCACTGTTGTTTAAAGGGCCGCCTTTAAACGGATCTTCTCGACATTTATCGGCATCTTTTTCATCATCATCGACTGATTCCGCTACTCAGAACGGAAACAACRTTCAGTTTACACTCGGTTTAAGTTATTTTACTGCAAACTCTCAACAGATAATGGAGCTCTATGACTGGTATTTTCTAAATATAGATGAGCTRAATTGTGTTATTCGGTTGCCGGAAGGTTAGTTGATGTCACGTCAACCTGATGTGTTTTTCTAAAAATAAATAAATAATAAAATCACTCATAAACAAACAATAATTTCACGCCGAAATGATCTTCTAAGCATGTTCAGATAATCTCATAGATTACATTTGAATTTAATGAGATGTTTCTAGAGATTTCAGGTGATAATAAATGTGTTGGTGGGTATTTGAATGGAGTTCGGCGTGCAGAGATTCTACACAAAGCTCTGCAGCAGGAGTTATATAACTGCTGAAGCACACATCAGTTTTATAATACAGGAGCTTATTTTATCATTTATTCTACAAACTACAAGCAGTTTGCATGTGTTATTTTAATAATCTTTATTTATTCTTCAGTCAGTTTGAATTCCCTTCTTCTCTCCCTTTTTCAAAGAAATGATGATGATGTCGTTGTAGACTCATTTCTGCTCATCTTTCTCTTTAAGCATCTGTATCTAAGCCAGTCCAGCTGTTTCTCATCGTGTTCTTTGTTGTCTCCTCAGTTGTGTTTGTGGCCTTGTCGCTCACCCACAATGCATTGCCAGAGGCCTTCCTGTCCATCAGACAGACCGGTGTAATCCTCCCTGCCCCCGCTGGTCCAAATCAGAGTAACCAAGCAGGAAAGTAAGAGTCTGCTTCATTTTATCAGCACATTTATTCTGATTTGTGATTATGTGTAATGTTTGTGATTATGTGTAATGTTTGTGATTATGTGTAATGTTTGTGATTATGTGTAATGTTTGTGATTATGTGTAATGTTTGTGATTA